GTGGCAGGATAGCTGCCAGCCTGGCCACCAAAGGCCACATGTGAACCCAGGAGCAGGTTTGCATGACAATCAAGTTGGTCCAGCGAGACCCCCAACCCTGAACCCTGTGCTTCCCCTCTCCCTTCTTCCCCTTGCTTACCCCTTCCAGCTCCCTCCTCCCAGGTTTCCTCCTCCCCTCTCCTGCCTCCTTTCCTCAGTCTGACCAGAGTTTCATTCCCCCCCCCACCAGTTTTGTTAAATAAAGAGAGTTTGTGTTTATGAAAATACGTGTATTTTATTTGACATCAGGAAGGGGGGCTAGGGAGGGGTAAGTGGAAGGACGTAAGGGAAGAATGAGGCACAAGTCCCCATGGGGCAGACCAGGGAGGCTCTTAGGTTGGAAGCTCTCCTGCAGGGCCTCCTGGATACTGACAGCCCCCTGATGGACCTCCTAGATGGCAGCCTGCAGAAAGTGCAGCCAGGCGCACAGCAACGCATCCAAGAGAAGCTCTGGCTCCAGGTTGCAGAGTGCTGTGGTGTCCCGAGTAAGGACAACCAGGGCACGCAGAGACAAAATGCTTTGCTGTCTCTCATCAAGGTAGACAAGGAAGCAGGGAAAGCTGAGAACTGGCTGTCCAGGGAGGGTCCGTTGAAGCACAGACCTCAGATAGCCTCAGGCAGCAGCCCCACACAGTAAGTCCTTACCTGGTGTGCTGCCAGAACTGGTTCCGGCCAGCCTTAAATGCGATTCAAAGTCCACTCAGTGAGGACGCGCTATTTCATGTGTAGACACGTTATTTTGAAATAAGCTATTTCGAAATAACACTGTAGTGTAGACATACCCTTAAAGACTAACCATTGTAACCATTGTAATAAAATGATTGGTCTTTAAAGTGGCACCAGGCTCCTTGTTTTTATTTTCCAGTATGAAAGTCCTTGCAAGTTTTCTGAGAATTTCAAACTTTGTTTTCATCAAGACTTTAAAATTCAGCAGGGAGAAAGCCCTGGAACATTTACTTTTCTTGAACTCCAAAAACTCCATTAAAACCTAGGTGAATTATAAAAATTGCCATTTCCCTTCTCTCTCTTGAGTGCCTCAGGAAAATTTTGTTGGTGTGCCAAAATAACTAAATAGGAATATTCTAAAAAGCCAAGTCCACTTTGTTATCAAAGTGGTGGCAGCAGCAGTAATAGCAGTATAATGCTGCACTTGAAATACCACACACTGCAGCAGTGTAAGGGGTGGGATGGGTGAGAGCTTGGATAGGCTTTTGTCTCCCCAACCATAGCACCTGACCCAGTACTTGGCTCCAGCATCTTGTCTCCCACTTCTGAGGATGGAAGGGACGGGGCTAGGAGAAGCAGAGGTATCACTCGGGGCAGGAGCTGCCATTTATTGTGTGTGTGTGGTGGGGGGGGGGGGAAAGAGACTCAGTGTCGGTCCTGCCCATTGATGACTGGGGCTTGCTGATTTTACTGACAGTAATTAAAATTAATAATAATACATTGTATCTAGCGTCTTTAACCACAGGAAATGAGAATACTTATGAATGTTAGCTAATGAATCTTCACAGTGCCACTGAGAGGTAGGCTAATGTGTGACCTGTGTCTCTGAGATAGCAAATAACATTGAATACAGATCCCCCAGTGAAGTTTGGTTGAGTACAATGCGTAGAAGTTTTAGGGCAGGAGACAAGAGGTATACATAGAAAAACGAAAAACGTTAGTCTGTGAATAGTCCATTCCTTTCCACTTGGCAAATTTAATCTCCCTGGCCCTGATACTCCAAGATCATTCCAGTTTTACATCACATACAACAAGCTGCAGAACCCCATATTGTTTCTGTGGCCAGAATCAATGGAAATTTAAAAGGGACCTAAGTGATTGAGAGCAATTATTCTCCAGGGCACATGGCTAATTACTTGCAAGAAGCAGTTTAGAGTTCACTAAACACTGTGGTATCTATGGTTATGTAATTAATACAAAATGCCATTTTAAATTAATCTCAACTGCTAAATTGAGACACTTCTATAGTAAGCCTCTCGATTGCCCTGGTAAATTCAGCTTCCTTTAGAAATGTCTTTTAATTCCCCATAGATGCTCTCTTAATTTTAAAAGGAGATGAAATCCCTTAAAGGGATTCATAAATGGATCAGTTGAGCAGAAAGCAATTCTTGTTCCTACTCATAACCTCCTTATTCAGGTCATCACAGAATGTTATGTTTTATTTACAGGGAGCTGGCAAACAGAGAATTCACATTTGTGATTCCATTATTGTTGGAATATTGTTCCATTGTTGATACTGAAAATCAAAGCACATAAAAAGAACAGCTGCATTCCCAATATAAGAAAGTAATTCTAAAGTGGCCAGAGAGTAGGATGTGGGGGAAGGTGTGGTCCTGGGGCTAAAGTACTGCACCGAGATTTAGGAGACTTAGATTCAATTTGTGGTTCTGGCACTGGTTTCCTGTATGAACTTGGACAAGCTATTTGCTTTCTTTCCGTTTCCCATCTACAAAATGGGGAAAATGATACTGCTTTTTCCCAGCCTTTGTCTGACTTGAGTATTTAGACTGGAAGCCGTTCTAGGCAGAAGCTCTCTGTCACTATGGCTTCGTCTTCACTCCGAGTTCTTCTGGCAGAAAATATGCTAATGAGGGACTCATTAACATAAGTCACAATTTCATTAGAATATTTTTCTGCCAGAAGAACTCACCATGAAGACTACTAGCCTATGTTGGTATAGTGCTTGATGCATGGGTGTGGGCTAGGTTGGGGCTGCTTGATGCTACTGCGATACATTATAATAACAGCAATGAGAGGTAGGAATCGCATTGCATGTAACTGCTTCTAAACCTGTCTTTCTCAGCAAGGTGTATTTTCAGTAGACAGTTGTCAGTTATGTGTTGAATTGGAGCAGCCTTTCTTTTACCCAAATGTTGTACAATTACTTTGTTCATAGTTTTGCTAATATTCTAGTATTTCACTATCACAATTTTTTTGTAGACGCAGGGTATTAGCCATATCTGATGGAATTGAACATATTGGAAATCTCCGCTGGGAATTAGCATTGTGTCTTCTTGCTGCTTGGACTATCTGCTACTTTTGCATTTGGAAAGGAACAAAGTCAACTGGAAAGGTAAGACTGAAAATGCTCTGTGTCGTCTGAGGCACTACAGGACTTGCAGTATCAGAATATATGTGAAAACTAGGAGTACTTGCCTGGAAAGGAGGAAAGGGAAAAGACTTTCCTCCTCTAAAAAAGAAATCTGTCAATGTGTGGGGCTTGATTTTCACCTATCCTGTGCCGTGTGATGTCATTTACGCCTTTGGGTCAGGTTATCCAATAACACCTTCTACTAGGGTGAAAGTAATAAATTTCTTATAGGTACTGTTGTATTGCAATCCCCCTGCGAGGAGCCTCAGGCAGGAGGTTGAGGGGTGGTGTTGCAATATGTCAGTACCTGTAAGAAATGTTAAGGGTGGGATGGAGTGTGGGAGGGCTCAAGACAGAGAGTTGGGGAATAGCAGGAGGTGAGAATGTGGGAAGCAGGAGGCAGGGCTTGGAGGTGTGGGGGGCTCAAGGCAAGAGGCTGGGGTGTATGGTGTTCAGGAGTCAGGTTGGGGTGTTTGTGGGAGTGCAGGAATCAGGTTTGAGAGTGAGGAGGGGCTCAGGGGAGGGGTTGGGATGGGGAGATATTCAGGAGTCAGAGTTGGGACTGGAGGAGTGGGGGCTCAGGACAGGGGGTTGGTGTATGTGAGCCTAGGGGATGGGTGTGCCTGTAGGGTAGGAGGGGCTGAAGGCCCTCCTCCCCCTCGATTCATACCAGAGCTGCTTCCTCTTTCCTTCCTGGAGCTAACAGGGAATGACAGGGAAGTGCACAACTTGTCTGCACCCTACAACGCCAGAGGGAGAGGACTGCCAGTGATGGGAAGGGGAAGAGCCAAGCAGAGTCCTGGTGCAAATCTGATGGGGGAGATTCAGCTCCTCCTGCTCTAACTAAATGGTGCCCTGGAAGGGTTCGGGGCTGGGACTGACTTGGACTGGTGAGTGGGCCTCTCTCCCAGCTATCCCTTTCCTGCATGGCTGCCTGTTGCTTAGCAAGGCAGCCTGCAGAAGAGCCGCAGGAGCCTGACTGGAAGTGCGCAGTTCCTCCTCCTGCAGCCGAGTGCCCCAACCCGCTGGTTCCTTCTTGCTAGAGAGGCACACTGGGGTTCACTGGCTTACTTTCACCTTTGGGCCTGCGGTAGCTAAGGGAGAAACCTGGAGAGAGAAAGTGCTGCAGATGGTTCCTGGCAGATTCCTGTAAACATTGGAGAGAGTAACAAGGCTCCTGCAGATTCCTGAGTCAGCAAGATGAAGACACCAGTGGGGAAGGAAGCTTGTGAAGAAGGCAAAGAAATCCAGACTTCAGGCTCAGAAATGCTGTGAGAATAGAAAGATGAATGTCAGGGTGGAAAGTTTCTGCCCAGCAGGAGACTAGGGTGAACGACTTTATTTTTCAGTTTATTTTATGTTTGTTAATAGACTGAATCCCAAGAAGAATGGTGTTATTGGACGCAAGCCTTTGTAGAAGTTACTGAGGAGTGTGAGTGAAGGGAAACTGAGGCAGTATACCACAGAGCTATCTCAGACTGTGAGAGGGTACTCAGGAGATGGCCAAGCTCATTCCAGGTAGCATTTTACATCCACCTTGCACTGGTGTAAATGTCAAAACAAGGTGCAGGCAATGGATAATCACATCCCTCTTTCCTTTTGCTAGTTCTGTTTTGTGTGAGAAAGTGCAAGCCATGGTCTCTCCTAAACACTGTATTCCAGACTAGACCTTTGCTTCATGAAAATCATAAATGACACCACTGCCAAATTCTGAATCTCAGATGCAAGGCTTGGCTGGATTTTAAGAGGGATATGGCAAACAGCATTCAAGTTCTCAATTTGGTCTTAAATTGGAAGGTGCGCCAAGCATCAGTGATAAAAGAAATAGAAGAAAGATACCTACATGATTTAGAAACACAGTTTTCATTTTTCCAGATGAATTCAATTTTATAACATGCTGTCTAACACTTTTCGAAATAACAAAATCCTTAAGACAGATATCAGGTGGGAGGAAGAAATGTAGAAAGCAGTCTTAGGTTATGTCTACACTACCAGGTTATTTCAAAATAATAACTCCTCAAATAACTATTTTGAAATAAGCTTATTCCTCTTCAGAAACAGGAGTTGTTATTTCAAAATAACCAGCTCCTTATCATATATATAGTAGCCTAGTGTCTGAGAGTCTGTAACGCCGAAATGCTGGCTATTCCCTCTGGGCGGTGCTGTTGCCTGAAATGCTGGCTGTTCCCTCTGGGTGGCGCTGTTGCCTGAAATGCCGGCTGTTCCCTCTGGGGGGGTGCTGTTGCCTGAAATGCTGGCTGTTCCCTCTGGGTGGCGCTGTTGCCTGAAATGCCGGCTGTTCCCTCTGGGGGGGTGCTGTTGCCTGAAATGCTGGCTGTTCCCTCTGGGTGGCGCTGTTGCCTGAAATGCCGGCTGTTCCCTCTGGGGGGGTGCTGTTGCCTGAAATGCTGGCTGTTCCCTCTGGGTGGCGCTGTTGCCTGAAATGCCGGCTGTTCCCTCTGGGGGGGTGCTGTTGCCTGAAATGCTGGCTGTTCCCTCTGGGCGGCCCGGGCTGCATGGGGAGTGCGGGGCCCAACAGCCGCTTGCGCCCCCTGCTCCCCCGCGGCGGGC